CTAAATAGGGTAGAAAAACTATTTTATTTCTTAGAATCGACCAGCGGCGCACCGCGAAAAAGTTCGAGGGCAGAAAAGGGGGCATGACCCCTAAAAAAACATCACTCTGTAGATTCTGGCAAACGTTTGACATGTGCAATCATTCAGCTTCTACAGGGTTTCCAGATGGTTATAACTAATTTCCCCCAAAGGATTTCAAAAATACCCCAAAAATCACTGTTTGTCAACTAAAATCCCCCAAATAAATATAGATTTATTCTCGACTCATACTTGCAAAAAAAAAGACAAATTCGTTGAATATTTTAAAATAAAACTCATACCCTTACCACTTTTTTATTTGTTTATATTTTTCTGATCCCAAAAATTTTGTTGCATAGGTACTGCCATAGCAGCCATGTTGGCTTTTTGTCCTTTGGAGGGATTTCATGCCCTTATTCGTTTTATCTAAAAAAATCCGCAAAAAATCCTCTGAATTACAAAATCCGACAAAAATCCGATCGTCCAAAAAAAATCCGCAAATCGGATTAAAATCCGCCCATTGGCAACACTGGCAAAGGAGCAAACTGTATCTTTTTTATTGGTACTTGATTGAAAAAATAGATGGCGCAGTTGTTTTAATACATTTTTTACTTTAGTTTTATTCATTGAAATATACCCGATTTCCCCCAATAGCGAAAATTCTTACAATTCTTACCCCCAGAAAAAACTATCCCCCAGATTTTCCCCCATCTACTTGACAATCCCCCAAATTTGGGGGAAAATCCTCCGATCTGGTAACACTGAGCTTCTATTGCATAACCTATATTCCAAATTTGAGTTCCCTCAAAAATTGCAGGACCTATAAAGAAAATACTAAAAGAAAAATAAAATTTCAACACCCTGCAGATCGGTAACGAAGCGTTTGCGGACCTATGTTTATTAGAAATTTTAGTCATAAAATTAACCAAAGAATCACCCCCTTCCGTTTGTACATGATATTTAGGAACACCCTGTATATTCTTCCACTAGTTGAAGTGTGTGGTTATGGATATTGACATTGATGTTGATGTTGTTTGAGCTCATGATCTTCGTTTTCTGGAGGTTCACTTCTAGTTCTACCTTCTCTGACTCTTTCTTTAGTTCGTCGTCCTGGTCGGTGCTCATGATCACAATGCCGTCGGCGAAACGGAGATGGATCAAAAATCTCCCGTCTATGTTAACTCCCTTTTGTTGCCATAAGTCAAGTTCTTACATACGTCTTTTAGTGCTAGGGTAAATAATTTTGGAGATATTGAATCGCCCTGTCTTACCCTTCTCTGTAGGGGGATCTTTCCGGTCTGCTTTTCGTCTGCTTAATGAAGTTGGTATATCTTGAGACAATCATCGCATTACCCATTGTCTCCAGCACCGCCCAGGTTTCTGCCGAATCGAAAGCTTTTTTGTAGTAGACGAATGCGAGGTGTAATGGGATATTATATTCGGTACACTTCTCAATAAGAGTGCGTACCGTTTGAATGCGATCCTTTGTACTATAGCCGTTTCGGAACCCGGCCTGTTCCACTGGCTGGTAGAAATCGAACTTTTTGTTGAGTCGGTTATGGTTATAATTTTGGTAAGGAGCTTATACAAAACGGACAAAAGACTGATCGGTCTATAGTTTTCGATGTTGGTTCGGTCGCCTTCTTTGAAGAGAATTATTACCTCGGCATTTCTTCAAATGTCGGAAATTTTTCCCTCCTCCGCACACTTGTTAAGAAGGATGATCAGTGCTTTCTCCAGAGTTGTTCTCCCATTCTTTACCATTTCTGTTCTAAGGTGGTCTTTTCCTGGGGCCTTTCGGTTTTTCATCTGCTTCAGTGCCATTCTCAGCTCTGCAGTTTCAATCTCCGGGATGTCCTCGGAGCCCATATTCAGGACTACCTGTTCTATACGGTTTGGCTTAGGTACCGATTATCTGTAGAGAAATGCCGGATAGTTGATGTGATCTGTTCTCTCTCTGTCACAACTTGTCCTTGTTGGTTCTTGATTTTGTATATGAGCGACGAGCGACCTTTCCTTTGTTCTTTTAGATCAGAGGACTTTCATATGCATGTTGTCCTCGATAGCTTCTAAGCTTCTTGTATGATCTTTGTGTTATGAGATCTTAGGTCTTTCTTAATGGTTTTTTTTACTCGTTTGTCTAGTTCTCGGTGTCCTATCGAATCTCTGTCCATTTTTATGCGTTCTGCTAGGAGTGCGTTTGTGCTCTGGCTGAGTTTCGTATTAGTTTCTTCGCTGCTGGGGAGCGATTTTCGAAACCATTCGAGTAAATTTCGTACACGAAATTTAACTGACAGCAATGTAAATTAAATGGGGAGCAGTCAAATTTCGTGTACGAAATGTACTCGAATGGTTTCGAAAATCGCACCCCTGTTCGTATGCTGCTAGCGATTTTTCTTGATAACTCATTTAGACCCATAATTCCGTTGGTTCTAGTTTTTTGTTGATTTGGACATTGTATTCTTCCATTTTTTCTTTGAGCTGAATCCCTGTTGGGCGAACAGCAGATTTGCTTGTATCTTGAAGAACGTGTTCATGCAGTTCATTTGTTCTTTGTTCATAAAGTCCAGCATCATTTCGTCTCTATTGTTTCGTGTGCCCAGTCCAAAATTAACGATGTTCGGGCCACTGTCGCAATTTTACGACCTATCTTAGCATTGAAGTCACCGATTATAACCTTGAACTTGAACTTGGTTTTTGGCTATCGCTAGATCTTCATAAGATTGCTCGATATCTTCGTCTGTTGATGTTGATATGGGTGCATATGCCTGTATTATCTGCATGCTGTATCTCTTGTTCAGTTGTAGCATAATGTAAATCACGCCGTCTGATATAGCTTTGCTTTTCGTTACCAGATGTTTTCTCTTGCTGTTTACCATGATCGCTACTCCTCCGATATAATGGTTTGTTTTGGAATTTCTTTGAAAGAGCATTGTCCAGATTCCAGAATTGTGTTAGTCTCGCCTTTTTTGTCGGGTCTCGCTAATTCCTAATATGTCCCATTTGATGTTTTGGAGTTCGCTTTCTAGACTTAGCATGTGTTCTTCGAGTCGCATTGTGCGAATGTTGTATAGGTTAATATTAGGATGTTCTCATTTGTTTTTTATCTGCTAGTGTCAAGGTTTTATCTCCCCCAGAATCCTTGAGGCTGGCTGATGTATCAGGGCGAGATTCTGAGCACTTAGCTCTACTCGCCTTGGGCCCCTTGGGGTTTTTCTGTTTTAAATGTCGACATTACATGTGAGTTGTGGAAGGAGTTTGGCATTAAAACGCCTCGCATGCCGAGCGCGTTGGCGAGTCCTGTTCCCAGGTATTAATTCAGCCGCCCATTCTGGGTCCGACGCTGTTTGCAGCCGCCTAATCTGGGTCAGACGCTGCTAGTTTGCTTCGCCATGTCTGGCTACTCTACTCAAGTTTCCAGGGTGTGGTGCTTGGAGCCTTGAGTAAGAGCTGGGCACCCCATGAGGACCAGTTACCACAATCTATCTCCCGTCTATGACGCTTGATATGACCGATTTCAGTAAAAGGTGCTACCTTTCTGGCGTGATACCCCCATTCATTACACCCCTGTAAATGTAAAATGATAGACGGACAAAATTACTTTAGGAGAAATATTTAGAAGTCCTCTATCATAATTATCATGGTTACCTACTAGTTTTAAGTATATCCTATATAGGTGTAATGGGAGTCAATAAATTCACGTATTTTACGTCTAAAAAAATAAGTTTGTTTTTTGTGGTCATCGATCTTAGCGTTCTGATGATGAACAATACTTCATGATATTATTTGCTCACCAAATTTTCTTTTTCTACAACAAGATATTATCCTAAATGCCTGAGAGTGCCACTTCTGAATTCAAAGAGCAAAGTCACTTTCAATTCCATCCTTTTTCAAGCTTTACTACAGGGTTTCAAAATTATGGTTTCACTATTATCATTTTGCTCGTTCCACGCATGAAAAATGAATTCTTATATTCTTCTATAGAATACTAGATAATGATATTCTTATTTTTTAACATTGTGTAAGACATTACTGACACTGACTATATCAGAATCTAGGCAAAAAGCCATTTAACTTTTTAAATCTCCAAGTTTTCTTGAAGAAAATCTAAATTCCTACATATGACACCTTACCAATACTTGCCTTTTCTCCCCAATCTCATTAGTTTCAAATGTATGTTACAAGTTCCAATAATTTTGGGAATATTTCCTGCAAATTTCGTTTGAAAACGAATTTGTTCAATTTTTTTTTTTGCGCACCGTGTACATAGTGTAGCTTTTTTGCCATTTTCATAGAATTTTTTCAACGTTCGGTTAAGTAACTTTTCTACACACTCGTAGAAAGACTATTTTACGACCTTGTCGACTTATTTATTCCGCAACCAATCCATTTATGCTAGAGAACCCCAAAATAAACAATCTTTGAAAACTACTTTTTATAAAAATAAACTCCAGATTCTCCACTGCGGTGGATATCGAACTATTAACTATTTGATTTAATCTGCAAATAAACTGGAAATAGAATTATGGTCAGGAAAAAATGCTGAACCAACATGAATGTATCCAGATAGTTAAGGATAACAATCAAACAGGAGTGTGTGCGTTTTCGAGGCAGTGCAGATGGGTATAAACATAAACAGTTTGTTTAATTAATTAAAGTTAATTAAGACTATTTTGGTGCGAAAATTAGGACTGCAAAATGGGTAATTAACGCATTTTAATTGTTTGTTTATGTGTATTACTTAAACGATATTTTTGTCTTGGGTATGCATCATGCTCGTCTGGCTGTAAATAGAAGTATAATGCAAATATTTAAATTTGTTTTAACAAAATTTACGCTAGGAGACTCCCATAGTGAAAATCGCGGCAGTAATAAATTCTAAAATAAAGCAGTTAGCCCATGCCAGAAGAATTTCAAATCATAAAATAAGAAATTTAATAGTTTTATTTTTACTGAAATTGAATAAAGATTTATTTTTCCAGGCTAAATGCACTAGATTCGCACAATTACAACCCAATAATGGATTACATAAGGGAATTTGATATACAACTGGAAAGAGAGCATTACTATGCAGGAGAAACGGTTTGTGGAAACGTTATCCTGGATACGGTGGAAAATTTTAAATTACGATGTAAGTGAACAATATTTAAATTAAATCTGTATTCAATGTTGCTATTTTTTTTTAGCAATAAGGGTAATTTTACGAGGAAAAGCTCATGCCGAATGGAAAGTGATGCTCTCAGGAGATAGAAGAATAGTGAGTATAATTCAAATTAACTAAAAAATATTTCCATAATGTTTTTTTTTTTTTTCTGTGAATTATTCAATTTCAATTATTGAAATTAGGTCAAAGGAGATCAATATTTCATGGACCAAAGGCAAACAATATGGGGCGAGAAAAATTTTGAGAGTACAATTCCAATATTACCCAGAGGCGTACACAAATTTCCATTTAGGTAAGATATTCGAGACTTCTGGCACTTTTGTAAATATACAAACTATATTTATGAAAAAACACAATTTCAGGCCACACTGTATGCATTTTAACAAAAATATACGTTTTATAGTTTCGAAAGTAAAGAGTGTAGGTACTTGCAAACAGAACAGAAACTGGAGTGGCTCGGTATATATTTTCAGTTTTACGGCTTCACAACTAATAAATAATGTTGTACTATTATAATCAAACTCGGCGATATTCTTTCCGGAATTACAGAAAATCCCATCGGGCTAAAGTGTCTTTTAATCCCTTTGTAGTCGTCGCTTCGCTCAGGCTAATAGGAATTTTCACGGCGGAATTAAAACATCCACTTATATTGGAGTATGCCCTTATATTCATAGGTCCTATACATAGGAGCACGTACCTATCCTATGAATAAATTTTCGACTTTTTGAAGTGTGCTTGCAACAGTTAACTATTAGAATGTTTATAGGAAGTTTAATATTTTTCCTTTTTTATTATTACAAATTTTGGAGATTGTTTATTAATTTTTCAGTCAATATAGATAGGTATTTATTTCCACTCAAAATTGTTTTTACATGCAGGAAAGTGTCACTTTGCGCACTTGTTGGTGAAATAGCAATTTTCTTCAGCTTTGTCATTTATATTTTTTCCGTTGTAGAGGAAATATCACGATAATTAGTTTTGAAAGAAATTACATCAATATAGATATTTGAATTTCAAGGGTATTATGGCCCAAATCGGTGCCAAGGCAGCGTATACAACCCGAGACGCTTAGTTCGCCCGTGATCTCAATCTCAATTTTGCTCGTTGATTTAGAGTTTTTCTTGGAGCCAGTAACGACAATTGTTTCAACATTTTCCATTTGCCTTTTTTCCCATTTATTTCAATGTAGTTCTTATTATGTTAAACTGTTTTCCTTTCTTCCTCAAGGCAATTATTTTTTAATTCTACCATACATTATACTTTCATTGTAATATGGATAATCTTCATCCCAAGCGCAACTTAAAGATTATCCATAAAAGAATATACGGAAAGTGCCAATCGTTCATCTCACACACAGTTTGGATTTCGTGGAGGGTTTGGTACTAGAGATGCTTTATTTGGTGTTCAGGTCTTGGTTCAACGTTCTAGGGATGTGTCGGTGCCAGTATATGCCAGTTTCCTAGATTATGAGAAGGCTTTTGATCGAGTCCAGCACCAAAAGCTCATAGAATATCTTAAAGAAGTGGGTCTAGATGATCGAGACCTAAATATAATTGCCAACCTATACTGAAATCAGACAGCTCAGATAAAGCTTGATGGCCAATTGTCCGAAGATGTTCGAATACAGAGAGGTGTTCGCCAGGGTTGCATAATATCTCCACTGTTGTTTAATATCTACAGTAATAAAATCATAGATAACGCACTGCACAACTGCAAAGAGGGCTTGACTATAAATGACATAGAAATCAACAACCTAAGATATGCCGATGAGACAGTTATTATCGCAGATACACTGGAAAGTCTGCAGGAGTTCCTAAATAAAGTTGCAGGCGGAAGCTCGGAATTTGGACTGAACTTAAATGTAGGAAAAACAAAATGGATGGTTATAGCCAAAGAAAGGAACATTAGGGGCATATTAGAAGTCAATGGCCAGCAAGTCGAACGCGTTAATTCTTACAAATACCTGGGTTGTTAGCTCAATGAAAACTGGGACAACATGCAAGAGGACCAGGCAAAAATCGAACAGGTCAGATCGTCTTTCATTAAAATGAAGTCAGTGCTGCGTAGTGGCGGTCTTAATAGCACTCTCCGAATTCTTATACTTCGTTATGTGTTTAGCATTTTATATTACGGTGTAGAGGAGTGGACATTACCTGATGCCATGAGCAAAAAATTGGAAGCATTTGAGATGTGGTGCTATCGTAGGATGCTCAGAATATCTTGGATGGATAGAGTACGTAACGCGGATGTTTTTCTTAGAATAGATAAGGAGCTTGAAATTTTATTCACCATCAAAAAACGTGAACTTTAATACTTTGGACACATTTTAAGAGATGATAAATATGACATAGACGAATATCATGGCTGAAAAATCTTAGACTCTTAGTTGCTTTCTTGTCAATTTTCCAAACATAGAATAATTAAACGATTTGTATCTTTCCAGATTCACCCTTCCTGAATCCGCTCTACCATGTTCATTCGAAAGCAGAGCAGGACAGATTAGATACTTTTTCAAAGTCACCATAGACATACCTTATGCCAGTCCACCGCAAGGAATGAAATATTTTACAATAATCGGACCTCATATTGATTGTATGGACGAAAATTACTTGGTAAAAGCAATTATCTCATACTTATCAAAAATGTTAACAGTCAATTTTGGTAGAAACCTACAATTCTGGAAAGCCGGAGATCGACATGTTGTTGGTGCTGCAAAAAGGGCACTGTGTCCTTAAGATCGGTCTTGGAGCGATCAGCATATGCTTGCAGGGAAAGCATTAAACTCAAGGCTACCATCGACAATCAGGGTGAAGAAGAAGTCAGATTAAGAATCAGGTAAAGATAATCAAACAAAAATACAAGCCTCACTACTTTAAATTTGTTTATTCCAGATTAGAACAAATTTGTGAATATTTCATAGACCGAGGCGTTTTAGGAGTGTCGAAAGATCTTAAAAATGTTGTTCTCGAATATAGGTAAGTAAAATACTAAATTATACATTAATGTAAAAACATTTTAAATTTTTAGAGGTAACCCTGTGAAACCTCAAAAACGAATCAAATGGGATAGTGGTAATGTTTTGGTAATACCTCCTGTACCTACCACATTAGTGAATATTTGTCGACTGGTACAAATTTATTATGTTTTGACGGTAAATAATTATATTGGAATTTACTTTTGACCTCATCCTGACTAAATTTTATAGGTAAGTTTGGATACCGAGAAAGAGCCGGACTTGGTTTCAGTGAGCATGCCTCTTACCATTGGCACTGTACCATTTAGGATACCCAACAGCGATAAACGACCAGTGATTAAATATGGTAGGTATATAATAGTTATTAAGATTACAAGTGCGTTTATGAACATAATTAAAATAACGAGTGTGAAAAATTAGAACGACATCACACGTGTTTTGTACAACGTTTTATCTACAAAGCGAAAAATAAGAATGTTTTTTCAATTATTTTCTCGTTATTAGTCGTTGTCTACCTCCATTTTACCTTCACAGGTTTAACTTTGACATTTGTCGAATCACCAAAAATAGTTGTGTTATGGAGTCATAACCTATTCCATAACACGTACCACTAGTAGTTGTGTTATGAATTCATAACCAAGTCCATAACACCACTGTTCTGTTATGAGTCTCATGACATAACTCAAATACTAGAAAAATGGTTATGTAAAAACGTCATAAACAAACGTTTGTAGATAAAACAATCAAAAGAATTTAATTTAAATTAAAAATGTTGATATTTTAGAGCATGCTTGTTCACATGTCGAGGGTGGTCAATATCTTGCTCCAGATTTTCTATTAGGGCAAGTTTATGACGGTAACGAACATTATTTGAGGTAAGTAACTATTTTCACAATAATTATTGAAGATGTTTTATTCTAATTATTACAACATTGTCACAGATACTGTAGACCACTGCTAATAGTGTAGTCAATCTATGCAGGTTTATGCAGGTGAGGAAGAAAAAATTAGTAACAAAGTGTTCTCTGCGGAAATATGTAGTCAATACGGTCCTAATTAATCCCCCAAAAATCGTACTTTGTCGCATTGGTGGAACTTCGAAAAAAATGGCCGCCATCTTGATTTTTTTCGAATTTATTGAATATTTCGTAAAGTATGCATTATATCAAAAAAACTCGAGAGAACTTTTTTGTGGAGAATAAAAAGTTACTTAAAAGAAATTTCGTTAATTAGCTGGAAAACAAAAAAGTTATTGGAATTCGATTTATTTCAAAATATGGAAATTTTTGAACTTCAGGTAAAATCGCGAAATGTAAGTATGCATTTTTCTGATAAAACTTAAGAATGCCCTTTAGTAGAGGATTGAAGATAGTTATATTGAATAAAAAAAAAACATCAGTAATTATCGAAAAGTTTGGTGTCAAAGGTTAAAAGCATGGTCTCAAGTTTTCAGTCTTCCTCTTAGTGATTTTTTTTATAAACCTTAAAGTATAGAATTAAATTTATTTGAATTACTTAGTGTCTATCCAGACAGTACACAGACATCTTGAAGATGTCTCTAAGATGTCCACAAACGACATTCAAGACGTCTTTTAGACGTCTGCTTACGTCTTCAAGGGGTTTTAAAACTCTTAAAAACATCTTAAATACGTCGTATGTTACAAAACCCAACGTCTTTCAGACGTCTGCCTAAAGACGTCTTCAGGACTAGGTAGGTATATATTTTATTATTATTACTCATTTTATAACTTTCAATCTTTACCTAGTCCAGGCGATAGGCTCTCTGAAATAATTCTGAGGTTTGTCTAAAGTGTTCTAACTTGGCTTGAAGAGTTCTGGAGCATTCTAGAAGTTTTTCAGTAATTTTTAAATTGGGAAGTCCGCTCCTTTGAAGGATCCATGTTAAATTTCAAAATGTTCTGACAGATTTTTAAGTATTTTAGAGCCCCATCGAAGTTCCAAAGTGAAGTCGAATTGGTTTAAAACCATTCTAAAAGGTTTCCAGTTCTATATTGAATCGTAATTGTTCTAAAATATCCAGGGCCGATCCTAAGGTATCGGCCGCCCGCATGTAAAAAGCAATTGCGCCGCCCTTTAGAGATATAGCACCCTTACGCAGGTGCTGGCAGTGGTAGCCCGCATTAGGCGCCGCCGGAGGCAGAAAATTTTTTTGGGTGCCACGCCCAGAAGCGTTCATTTCGAGACTCAAAATGAACGTTTTTGGGCGTTTAGAGTTAGAAAAAAACTTTTTTGGAACATATTTGTTTTCTATGAGTTGTTTGAATGCGCGCGAGTGAATATGGTGATCAATAATGACAAACACTATCCTGAAATTAAGTAGGGCTTGGGGCCTGAGCTTGGGCCTGGGTATGAAAGTGAAAAATAGGGCCCTGTGGAAAATCATGACACCCCAGTCCCAATAAGTCGTAATACTTATACCTACATAACATACCGACCTGCACTTGGAAGTCTTTGGTACCAAAAAAGTTGGTAATATTAGGTCTGTTTTTGCAGAAATCACAAACCAGTCAAAGCGAATTGCATTGGTTGAAAACAGTCAGAAAACTGGTTTCATCCAATGAAATTCATTCTGACTGGTTCGTGATTTCTGCAGAAACAGACCTATTGTTAGCGGGAGTAGGTATTCATCTAGTTCTGTTGGACGGTTGGTACCTAATTATTCTTGCAGAATTAAGTAAATTGGGAACAAAAATAAACATTTTGAAAAAACAAAGCAGATGAAGTATTTTGGAAATATAAAAAATTATGCGATCTTATGATGAATGTGTAAAGAGTTAAAACATTATGCGTGAGTCTATACATTGACTGTGCACTAAACTTTCTATCTATGCTATCAGGGGATCGGGGTTTATTTTCATTTTTCAGTTTTTTAAAGTTCAGCTTATCTCTTTATCATAAGTAGTTTTATTTTGAGAAATCCGTAAAAAGTTTTACTTGAATCTTGAATGACAGAATTAGAGACGGCCTGCGGCCGCCCCTCGATTTGGCCGCCCGCGTGCGGGGCACGCACTGCACACCTGCTAGGATCGGCCCTGAAAATATCTCTGAAGTTTCTAAATTGTTCCAAAATGTTCCATTCTAATAATGGTTCTGAAGTTACCAAAATGTTTTGAAGCGCTACAGAATGCTTTTGGAAATTATGAATTGAATTTTAAGTGTTTTTAACTTTCGAAACGGCTTATTATTAAAGTTCTAAAGTGTTCTGTAGCATTTAGCATTCTAAATGGTTTCAAGTAACTTCTAAAATTGAATTAAAAACGAATTCTGTGGAAAATTTTTGTAGACATCTTAAAGACGTTCTTACGATGTCCACTAAACGACATGCAAGATATCTTGCTTACATCTTTAAGGCGTCTTAAACATCTTGAAGACGACGTATGTTACAAATACCAACGCCTTTCAGAGGTCTGCCTATAAAGACGCCTTTAGAACTAAGGCATTCTAAAGACGTCTTCAACGAAATTTCTAAAAGTAGTCTTTGAATTTCTTTTGAATACATAAACCATTATTCACTTATAGGCCTGATTGTACGAAGTGTGGCTCAGTTGTCCTTAAAATGTAAGTTTAGGACATCTTATTATGGAAGTTTTTAGAAGTTTTTTTTTTTAGTCTTCAGATGTTCAGATGTAATGCAGAAGGAAAGGCAGACTTAAAAAAGACATCTTTAAGACTTCGTGTACTGCCTGAGTCTGGGTAGTTTCCTGTCCAAATGTTTTTCTTGTCATATTTGTTTTCGCTCCCTCTCAACAAAAATATTTAGATTTTTGAATTTATTGAATTTTTTTTCCATTGAATGTAGTTTTTCATTCTGCACAAAAAAAATACTTATTTGATTTTTTTTCAGATGTTTTGAAAAATTCCCATGTTGCCAAATGAAATAAATGTCAATAACTTTTTCGTTTTCCAGCTAAGAGTCTTGAAATTTCTTTCAATATAGGTAATTTTTGATTCTCCACAAAAAAGTTCTCCTGAGTTTTTTTGATATAATGTATACTTTACGAAATATTCAATAAATACCAAACAAAATCAAGATGGCGGCCATTTTTTACCAAGTTCCACCAATGCGACAAAGTGCGATTTTTGAGGGATTAATAAGGACCCTATTGACTACTCATTTCCGCAGAGATCACTTTGTTACTAATTTTTTCTACCCCAACCACCTATTTTGACTAGCCTATAAAGAATTATTATTCATTTATCCCCAGTCCAATTTTAAATTAAATGACATAGGTACTCTTTTGCTTATACAGGGTGCGGCAGTCAAACCTGCAATTTTGAATAAAGCGCGGGTGCCAAGAAAGTGGGCGGGGCGAGTTGTCAAGTTTACCGTTGTGTTTCCCCCTTCAAAGCATTTTAATTTTAGTAGCCATGGAACAGTGGTCCAAGCAAGAACGGTCCCAGTCAAACCTGCATTTTTGAAATAACTGAACAAAAAAATTTTATTTAAGAGACATTATTCATTTGACGGATTCTCGCCTTCAGTTCGTCAAGATTACGAGGCCATACTTCGAAAACTTAACTCTTTAGGTAGCCTCACAAGAAAAAATCACATGTGGTGAGGTCGGGTGAACTGGCGGGCCAAGGAAAGGAAGCGGCTGTATAACTACCGCTTTGATAAAATATCTTCACGACGAAGGACAGTTCTTGCTTGGACCACTGTTCCATGGCTACTAAAATGCTTTGAATGGGGGGATTGGGGGGAACGCAACGGTAGCACTATAACCTTGACCACTCGCCCCGCCCACTTTCACTCCAGCGCTTTTTTCAAAGTTGCAGGTTTAACTGGCCCAGGGATGATCCGGCAAATACCAAGTACTAAGAGAAAAGCTCTTCAATCCGTCTTTCGCACCTATTGATCAACTCCCTTGTACCTGGAAGTTTCGGGAATGGATATTAATCTTAAAACATTTATAATAGCCTAGCAAATTACAGAACGATAGAGAACTGACATTTATCGGAATTCCTTAGAAGGAATGATCTAGAACTATATTTGATAACAAAAAAAAGTAAAATACCTGGAAGGAACATATTATCGCTTGTATGGGTTGCTATAGATTGAGTCTAGACAAACCTATGACTGTTTTATGCATATATATCAGCCTTAACTGCAAACCAGTGTAGAAGACAACCTGAAACTTATAAAGGTTATAGAACAAGCATACAACGCTGGTATGCATTTGGAGATTTCAACTAAACTGGAAAACATTAACAGTTAATCCCACAAATCCATGCAGCTCCAGATTTCGTTACTCCCTACAAAGAAATCAATGCCTTTCAACTTGTAAATTTTTCAACTAGAATAAGAATACCTAAATGAACAGTATCTACTTGATCTGCTATAAGTCAGTGAGAAGAGGCTTGCTTTTGATGTATCACAGCATCCACCAATTGGACTGAGTGACCATGTAGTCATAACAGCCAAATCCCAAATCTAGGTTACTCCACAACCAACAGATAAAATATATAAGAGGAGATTTTCGTCCGCAGACTATGAACTTATTAAAACGCATCTATAGCAAGAATTTTTCAGCATCACTGCTAACTATGACCGGGTCATGGATATTCTGTCATCCACAATCAGATCTTTCATTCCATTTCCATTCAAACTGAAGATTGTTAAGCCTTGGCTAACTCAAGAAATTTTTAAACGCATTGAAAAAAAGTTAAACTTGTGACACAAGAAATTGAAAATCAACTCTGGAAATGACAACTTGGACTGCACAGTCTAGAAGGAAATATGAACAAGAATTCCTAGCCTCTTCTGATAAGCATTATTCCTACATAAACAGATCTCTTGGCTCAAAACTTACACATTTCTCCCTTAGTGATGAGTAACCACTAACTGCACACTTAA